CAGCATGTGAATCTGCATCTGTATGTGTATGTGAATCTGCATCCTTACGTGTGTATGAAAGTCAGAATCCGTACTAGCCAAGAATTAATGCCAGTAAAAAATAAATAAACCCGTTAGATATGGGGGCCTTTGGCTAATGTGGAAAAATCACCCGGTTATACAGCAGGCAAGTTTTTATTTATGATTCGGTACGCATTAGGAAGAATGAGGCTTCACAGGCTGACAAGAGTTTTTTGCACCATCTGTCAATGATTCTTTACTAGTGGTTTTGACCAAATAATTGCTAAGAATTAATCCGAAAAGCAAGATGAAAACAGGAAGGAAATAAACGCTCTTTAGGATGGTCAGGGTCTTTGAAAAAGTCATCAGTTCAAAAGAGACGAAAAATATATACACAATAAAGTGAAGCATTAAGGCTTTAAAAATAGTTGGGACAGATGCCATTAAGGCATTGAGCTTTGGATTGAGAGCAAGGATCCGTATATTATCGTCGATCAGCAAAAGAAGAAACTCGGCTGCAAAACAATGATAATAGCCGTAATGGAAACCATGCCATATACAAAGAAACGATAGAGTCAACACCATTGACAGCCATTTTTTCTTGAAAATCGCGCACCTTTTGAAAATATATTGTTTCCCAAAGGCGTTGGTCTTTATGTTAAAAGAATCGACAATCTCCCTAAACCCGCTTGAAGATTCAAACAGAGACAGCCTAAAATTCATCAGTCTTGAGACCACCTCGCCGCTTTTTTCATCGGTAGTGCAAAAAGAATTTCCACCTAAAAAGCTAGCACCCTCAACAAGGATCCAAACGCCAAAATATTTCATCAAAACAGTCCTTCCAGAAATCATTAAGTATGCAAGCTTATAGGCCAGTCCTTTTGATGCAAATTGATCTGTAAGTGCAAAAGAGCAGGGAGTCAAAATTGAGAATATTTGATACCCTGCTAGGTAAATGGAGCCCAAGAAAAATGAGTGCAATGATCGTTTATTCAAGTCTTGGTTGGTAGCTTTATCAGTAACAATCGAATGGTAAGAGTTATAAATAATAGATGGGCCGACTAAAAGCGTAAAGCAGCAATAGGAGTAACCCATAAAAGCATCAATGGTGGGTAGCCTCACGAAGCTCTGGGGGGTAGATGGTGTGAATCGGCCCCAATTATAATCATACATGTCGATTACAATTGAGATGTTTCTTAAGCATAGTAGAGATTGGAGAAGAGTAATGTCTATATCATATTCAGAAGTTTCGAACCATGCGTACAACAGCAACAGATAGGCAAAGTTAAAGGCAAAGTTAAAAATCGTCAAATAAAAACAAAGTTGTTTACAAAATTCGTTTTTGGGGTATAGAAAAGAGGCCAAATTGAGCGTCGAAAATGTCACAATCGAGGAATAAATGCAGTACTTCATATCGCCGCCAATGCAAAACCAACCCAATACGAGCCCAGCGCCGCCCATATACACATTACATGCCAAATCGTGGTTTTTGTACGAGCTGGAATGCACCCATTTATACCCGGCCGCGAGTGGATACAGCAATAGCAAGGAGATCAAGATTTTCAGGCCTTGTACGGGAACTTTTAAGACCTCTGCAATGGGGAGCAATAGAATATTGATGTAGAGATATGCTTGTCCGAACATTGATGGATGGAATCAATTTAAATTGGCTTTTGCGCATCGCATATCGAGTATTTAAAAAGAATTTAAAATAAATTTTTTTATGCATCTTAGTGTACGATGATACTTCGTGCTTTGAAGTCTCCATCGAAGGGAATAAAGATGCTATACTGAATGTGGACTGCTTTAAATCTCCGATCGGCATTACCCATTGCTGTAAGGTACGCGAGTTGTCTATAGCTTAAATATAAATGAAATTGCCTAAAGCTTAAATACCAATCAAGTAATTTATTTGGATCCCTTGCTGGACCCAAATCCCATGCACCGCTTTTGCCCCTTGTCGGGAGAGTATAGGATACCGAGTTCGGCATATTTTTCCTTAACCTTAATCCAGTTTGAATGAAGTTCTTCTTTGGCTTCATGCTCATCGAGTGTTAGCAGTTGTTTATCGATTTCTGAATTTTCAGGAATAGCGACCAGGGATTCATTAAAGGTCCCCAATATTAAATCCCGAATTTGTAAACAATCGGGGGGTTCAGACCCCCCAGGAAATCGGGTTTGTGATTGCGAAACCATCATCCCACAAGCCGGACAGACCCCCAGGAACTTGGAGATGGAAGGAGAATCCTCCAGCTTCGTTTCGCTGATTTCCTAGCAGAATTAAAAATATTTCCACGAAATGCCTTTTTTTGAAGAGATATCAGAGAGGCGAGATCATCTGCTGAATAAGACCGTGAATCCAACATCGATCTTATCTTGACATCTCGTTCTGTGACCTACATTAAATGATTCAAAGTATTTGCTAAACTTGATCAGGAAAGAGAGGCATAGTCTTTCGAAATAAGCGCAGGGAATTTTCAAGGAAACACATTTGTTTCAGCACCAGTAAGGATTCTAGCTTTTCGAACAGTAGCTTCTCATGGTTTCTTTCAAGATAAGGAATTGAATTGGTGAGCATTGGCTCACCGCTATCTTGGTCTGTTGAGATTCCCCAGTTTCCCCTTGATTGATACTCGCTTAGAATTTCTTTGGAATGTAAATAAGGACAGCTCTATAAAATAAGCACTTGAGATCACACTCTAAATCCACCTTTAGGAACAGTTGGGAGGTACAGAGACCGCCCAAAAACTCGCTACAAACATCTCTGTCGTTAACAAACATTAAAAAATGGCTAAATTTATCGATTTAATGCATAAACGAATGCTTCATTGGTCCATGCTGGAGTGCTCGCTGATTACTTAGATCTGGCTCTCATTTGCTTCCTCTTGCGCTTTAGACGGCGTTGGCGCTTCTTCTTCCACTTTTCTCTCATTTTACTACTAGGTTAATATATGAAAACAAAGATATCAAATTATGAATGCAAAGGAGCAGATGTGGCAATGGATGATATTTTAGGTTGTTTTAAGAATTGTGCATGTATTAGTAGCTTACTGGGGATGTTTTTGGAATTTGGACAAATTAAAAACATTCAACTGAAAATTTATACCCTAATTTAGGGTTACTCAATTTGATTTTGAAAAGGTTTTTTGCTCCCTTTGTTGGAATGGGGTTTCCGTCGTTCCTCTCCATCAGATCATATGGTGGTCTTGTTATGTAATTGCTAATTATTTTTCTTTAGGAAAAAAGCATTTAAACTAAGCGATTCAAGAAAGCGCAATATTAGGCTTCGCTTAAAACAGGTTGAGCACAACCTCAATGTTTTGAATTATTCCAACGTCCATGTTGCATCATTGGTTTGTGCCTCTTATTGGTTGACTGCTCATCATAGGACACTTTAAATGCCATTCCTCGCTATTCAACATTGCGGCCTTTGGACAAATATACGTTTTGGTCTAAAAGGGAGCAGAGGAGGCTTCCGGTTCATTTCCTTGCAAAGTATACAAAAGTGGATGCCCCAGTTGGATCACATCGTTTATTTTTATTTGATAAAAAGTAAATTGTTCACTTTTCGTTCGCTAGGATGGCGGTGGGTGGAACTGAGGAGGAGGAGGAGGAGGCATCATCATGTTCTGAGGAAGAGGGGGCACCATTCCATGTGACATCATTGAAAGCGGTGGCATCATTCCGTGGGGCATCACAGGAGGGGGAGGCATCATTCCTGGAGAGATTCCGGGAATCATGGGCATGGGTGGCGGTCTGGCCGATGCAGGCATTGCAGTGCCGCCTGCAACGCCTCTAATAGCCCCTGCCAGCCCAGGAGCAGGCCCAGCAGCACCGGGCATCAGTGGGGCATTTGCGGTTTTCTGGAAATGTGCAGAGGCAGAAAGATCTGGAGGGGGGCCCGCTTCAACAACGATGGATATGACGTTTTCTCCACGAAGTACAAGCAGACCAAGAGTTCGCCTTTCTTCCATATTTGCAGCAAGAGCCGCAATTGATGGCGAAAGTCCTTGAGAAAGTGCCTTTTTCTTGGAAGAAGAAATTGCAGAGGCTTTCTTTGTCCTTCTGAACTCTTCACAATCTGAGAGCACCAAATTCATGTGTTTATCAAAGGCAATCAATTGGCCTACAAGAACCCTTCCGTCTTGAAGGGTCACTCGTAGCCTGTAGTTGATAAGCGCAGTCATCTTGGAATATCTAGCTGTCCCACTTCCTGCCATGCACTAAATTAATATTTTTAAATTTTACTTGAACTTAAAAGAATGTAAAATGCAACGGACCAAGGAGCAGCCGTGTGTATGCTAACCAATTCGCATTAGTTGGTTAATTTGTGAGCGGTTCCGATTTATTATTTTCAATGCCAAACGAGAAATAAAGATATTAAAGACCATGTGCTGCCGGCAAAAAAGTTACGGTAAAGCCTTTGATTGGCTGTTTTTCCGTTGTGGAGGTAATATGCAAATTAAATTTTAAATTACACCTGTTTGTGGTTGGCTTTTTAATTTTTGTTGAATGCAACTTTTGTTATTCATTATCATTTTGACTTTTGTCACCCAATGCCATTATTCACATTCTTCTAAGAATCAGAACAAGAATGAAGATGAGATTTATAATTCAGATTTTTCAAAAGACTATCGTAAGTCTAACGACGATTCAGGCTTTTCATCTAATTCTCATAAAACAAATGTTAAAGATCCAAACTTCATCACCAGATCTGTGGGATCTCATTCTAAGCCCTGGATGAATTATTTTCAGCAATATTTGAGCTTTACTTCGTATATTAAGCACAAGGTAAGCATGTTTATTTCGGGTATCTCCAGTTGGTTTCTAAGCGTTCTGAGCATATGCACGTATTTGCCAAAGCCCATTTCTATTCTGATTCGAATTTTCTTTGATTTGCTAGAGTTTCATTCCTTTGTCTTTTTTCATCGCGAGTTTATAAATCCGCCCATAGAAATGGTTTATAAAGTGTTATCGTTAGATATATTCTCGCCAGAAGACAATGGAGTAAAATCCTCTTCTTCAGAAAATGATACTCCGTTTGTCAGTTTACTTAAAGAAATAGATCTCGAGCTTTCCAGCCATGAAGTTTTTCCTTCTTTTATATTTGCAATATTCTCTATAACTAATTCAAAGATCAACAGCTATTTAGCTAAAGTAGTACCATTTATTACAGGCCTTTTTTCCGTCTCAATTTTTTTAGCAGAATATATTTTTATGTTTTTCTTATTTCGCTTCAAATATCATCTGATTAGATATTTTGAGGATGCTTTTTTGAAAAGGTGCGGTTCATTTTTGAGTACTTATATCTTTATGATAAACTGTATCAAAGTATTCACAATGAAATTTGTGCATCTCCTTGTTCTTCCGTATTTCAATTTCTTGGAAAAGTTTTGTACTTATTTTTACTCGTTGCTTTCTGTCTTAATCAAACCGATTTTCAACTTTCTGTTATCTAAGTTTCCTTTTCTCGGTCCTTTTATAAATTTTTTAATATATTTATCGTCCCGTATAACTGAGGGCTTTCGTTTTATCGCTGCCAATATTAAGATTGCTTTGGATTACAGCAATTCCTTCATGGTGAACGCTCTAGAACTATCTGGAAACCTTTTTGACACTTTTTTGGATTACAAACATGCCGTTGTAGAGATATCTGAAGACCTAGTCTCAACTATCTCAAATAGCACTGAAAACTATCTGGCCCCACCACCGCCTCCCATAGCGACACAAATCGAACTTGACAAAGAGTGCCAAAAAAGACTTGGTGGTGGAAACGGTGGAACGTCTATTTTTGATCTAGAAGGCGAAAAAAAAAGGTTGAGGTTGTAAAACTCTTTGAACTAGATGAAAAGTCGACAGATATAGATACAGCTAAACTTACACCTACAGATACACCTATACCTATACCTACAGCTGCAGCTGCAGCTTAAACTATCTAGCGTGACGAGCGGAAATTAAGCCTCAATATTACCTAATAAAGTCTCTAGATTATAAGATATTTATTCGTTAAGCTAAATTCAGATTACCCCATTTGTAAGAAATAAATTCAAGCCACTTTTTGTCGCTCATTATACGTTTTTAATTCCCGGTGAAAAAGTTTAAATTGGTGTATTTTCTGATGTAAACCAATGCGCAATTTTATTTCACAGTTTCCTAATTGACAGCTCTAGAAGAGGGATTGACATGAAAAGTGGCGTCTAAATTATTATTTGATAAAATCAATGGGAGGAGCCGAATCAAATGCGATTTCCCAAATAGATGTAACAAAAAACAAGAAAAACAACAATGCCCCAGCCAGGGTGACTACAAATAAAAAAGAATGTTCCACCTTTTCTGATGGAAAGTCGAGTAGCAATAAATGAACCACCTATAACAGCAGTCCCAGTACAGATAATGTGGCCTAAAATGGATCCTAAAAGTACACCGGGCAGATTCTATTTGTCGAAATTTGAGATATCTTACCTTGGAAGTGGCTAAAGCAATCGTGGCAAGTTGTGATCGATCTCCCCATTCGGCAATAAGCGTAAGAATAAACGACTTGGAGAAGAGAAATTCCCCAGGCTTCTTAGATTGTTCCTTATTTTTATCATTGTCACTATCCTCATGCTTATCGTTGTCGCGAAACGATAGGACACTTGTAAAACTGTGAGATCCCTCTTGTTCCCTCTCTATTCGAGCCGGAGATAATGTTGAGGATGATACAGCAAGTGAAGATGCCGTCGAGGGCTGGGATAATATTGCCTCCCTAACCATCAGAACAGAAAACATGAAAAACAGCAATGTCGAGGCAATTTTTGTATAAAGCATCGGAATCCAAGTGAAAATAAACCCCCCTAATAGAACACTTAGCAAACTCATCAAGGCCAAAGCTAAGATACTTCCAAGAAAAACTTTGACCTTGTCATGACGGCGAGATCGCATTGACAAGACAGCAGCCAGGAAAAAAGTTTTGTCGCAAAATTCGGAAATTAGAATCATCACAAATGCAGAAAAAAAACCATCCCAATACATAGTCGATGTATGGTTCTTAAGGGACTCAAAAAACCTAAAAAAGATTTTAATAGCTTACGCGGTCCAGTAATCCATTTGCTAGGTGTGACAAGGAGAGAAACGGAAAAATGAAATTAAAAATTAACTTCAAAATTTTAAAAAATTGACCATTCTTGGAATCCTATTTGCCAATTTGGATAGTTTTTTCTCATGGATCCTACCTTAAGAAATGGGATTTTCTCCACCATCTTGACTCTATTCCTTTTACTTGGCGTTGCTCTCTTTATTCTAAAGTTCTATCCTCCCGAGGAGAGTTCTTTTGATCCGTTTAAGATTTACAACAAAACCATCGCTTCCAATTTACATGGCGATATAGCGCCAAATCAGGCGGTCTGGAAAAATGATTCCAATATCAAATTGAACATTATTACCAACGAAACGGACATAATTACAATCAAGGATCCTATTCCGCATTTTATAGAGCCATCGAGCTTTCTGTACATACTTTTTTCTAGTTATGAAAGTCCCATAAGGCTGATATTGAGCTTATCCATCGGTGGAGCAATTGGATTCATCATTTCGCAACTTTTGCAATCAAAATCAAAAATGTTTGTGAGCGTCTCCAACCAGAACCATGAGCCAAAATTAAACTTCAAACAAATAGCCATTCGAATAGCCCTGCCAATGCTATTACATATGTATTTGCTTCACACAACCCTCGCCGCAGTATATGGCTTCATATGGAAGCAGGAGCCGGGGGACACTTGGGACAAACTCTTGAAGGCTGTTGGCGCTACAGGTAACCCTAATTATTGTTGATATATTTTAGCAATGCTTATAATAACATGGATTTTGTGGATGGTGCTGGGCGCGATAATTTATTCACTACCTTTCAGAAATTTATTGAAGGAAATATTTTTAATTTATAAATAAATCTTTAAAATTAAAATTAAATTTAATTAAAATCAGGCTTATCATCCAATAGGAACGTCACTTTTAACAGAACTCTTTCGCACCAATCAACAGAATCACAATGGGTATATAAGCGGTGCATTTTTCCTTATCATAAATCGTATTTCAACATGAGTTCATCAAAGTCACGCATCATTGTATCCGTTGCTGTCATTGCGCTGATCGTGCTGATTGGCATTC